TGTTATGAGTCCCATGTAAAAGGGGGTGAGCCTATTGCCATATACCGGGCACAATTTCAGACTCCGTGCTATTACTTAGATTTTTTTTAAAACCCTTTAATACTTTGCCCGACCCGGGAATCCGAGACCCCTTGCCCGGCAGTCGCACTTGCAACCACTCGGCCAACGAGGCAGTCTAAGAAGTTTAATATCATATTATTTGTTTATGTACCAGTTTGATATTACATCGAGCAACATTTTCCACATTTTGTTGTAAAAACAACTATTTATAAATAAATTCATGTTTGGTTTCGCTCCAGCGGTTTTCAATAATCAGTTTTTGTGAAAATTTACTTTTATAACTCAGCAAAACATATGATATGTCACAAGTTACAATATGGCGTAATAATTTGATATTTTTTGTAAAAACAAATTATATTCTATTGTCAGCAACCTTGTATACGCATATCCTTGAAAGGTTAACTTTAGAACCCGGATTTTAAATATGTTTGGTAAGTAGGATACTACTTGTTGACACCACTTTCGTCAACCACGATATAGGTAATATAATATATAACTATATAAAAATAAGTCAGGTTTTCCTTCCTGACGCTATAACTCCAGAACGCACGAACCGATTTCCAAGGTTTTGCATTCATCGGAAAGGTCTCGGGCTCCGTGAGGTATATAAAATAAAAAAGAAAAAAAATTCTTCATTTTTTAATCATCAAACGAAATGTTACATAAAACTAAGCCATCTAGTGGCGAAACGGAGTTCACCGGGTTTGCTATTATATAATAGATATATCATTGACAGACAGTCTTACCTAATTATTCAAATTTTGTTTATTTACCCCATAACAATCTCCACAAGGCACAAAAAGCAAGCAATTATTTTCGGGTATCGTTAGAAATTGTACAAAAGTCTCTTGCTTATACAAATACGAATCATGTAGTTTGGCAACGAAAGAAGTATGTTAAGACACGTAATAAATAAATAAACATAGGAAATCCCTATAAAACAGCGTAGAGTTTCAAAGTACCTTCACGACCGTGGTCCTTTTCCTCCCCATTCCTCGCAAAACCTACAGAAAACAAAAGAAAACCCGCGTTCCATAAATCAAACAGCCGAATAAACACAAGAATAATATGTTCTGATTGGAACGATGTATCAATACTGAACACTGAAGGGATATAGCCCGTATCTGAAAGGTTGTGGAGCGATGGTCTGATGTGGCCGGCCATTTGTCTTAGGAGCGCACTTTGACTGGGAATTAGGTCACTCAGAGCCCTCATACATGATGCGTCGACACTAGAAGCGATACGATAGACCTGCATGCTAAATTGAGAACTTCCTCAATTGGAGAACATAAATATTTAGTACCTATTTAGAGGCGATGCAAGAAGCGTGGGAGTCGTAATAATGCAACATAGTTTCATCATCAGTTCCTCATAAATTGAAAAGACGAGACATAGTTACCCAACTAATGATCATGATTATGTATCGTCTATTACTTGGAAAAGGTGACCATTCCCGACTTTTCTTCTAAAAAGTATGATCTTTTTCGACCTGGAACCTCGAACCTTAAATCTCATATGGTACTTATAGTAAATTAGTAAGCTAACATAATCTACCTAATCTCACTTACTTACTGACCTCTTCTATCTACAAGATATCTACGGTAGTTTCAGTATTTAATGAGCGTACCCTGATTCAGCGTTTATCATCACCGACAGTTAATAGTGTCTGCGAGCTCTATTGATTTATTCCAAGCATGCTTAACGCAACTATAGGGCGAGAGAAATATATCGAGGAGTCTTCTAGAATAATCTCTTTATTAGTATAAAGGTACATGAACAAAGTTTATTAAAACTTCACGGTATCAGGATGATCTGTAAGTTTCCTTTAATTGACTTTCCAAGGATTCTTAATTAAGAGGCAGGAGAAAAAAGGATAACTTTGAAGAACTTTGAAGGACGAACGAAGGTTGTTTTGCATCGAGTTTGTCACTGTAGGTAACAATACAGATTCGACTATATAAATAATGTTTTCAATTTTAATCATTGAAGAATTCTCTCAAATTCATTGCTTTTGGTATCGTCCCAAATAAAAATAATTTTATTTTTCAAATAAACCAATGTAACCAAGACACCTCTCAGGACACGCTTATTAAAGTCGTCAGGATCTCAAGAAAATCATGTTTAACTTAACTTTGCAACACAAACGTTACGAGATGAACTGAAACTTAATTACAGAGCAGACTAATGCGTCCAGTGTAACAAGATCTGCATCGTGGACAATCTGCCTTTCAAAGTGTTGTCTATGAAAACAGTGTGGCGTGACATCGGGGTCATCTTAAAGTGGTGGTGGAAGATGGATGAAGGGGCAGAGTCAACAAAGGGTGAAATGTATCCAAGGTTCGGTGTCCGGTGAGGTGACACGCGATAATGTATGTTTTAAAGTGGGTAGTGTAATAGATGGGTGACTGCGGTCAAGTGATTTATAGTGTCTTCCTGTATCTATTGTGTTCTATTTCATTTTATTTATTTTAAAACCGTTCTCTTCAAGTAATGTTAGAGTAAGTTCTTTTTTTAATTCATATCAAGTGAGTGAGAGTAACGGTGGAATATAGAAAGCAGACGCAACCTCCTTGATTCACAAAAAGATAGTCACGATAGACTGTGACGATTTTGTGTAGTGATACTAAATGCATATTTTTGAAGTACTTCACAGTTCAATTTGTTTTCCAAAACTATCCCAAAATATACAGCTCTTAAATTACGCGACTAATTTCAAACTAAACACTACATTTTAGTCAGCGTGTCATTTCATTAGTAGTTATTTAGCGACGCACAGATGCGACCCAACCAGAACCAAATTATGTGCATTGAACAACAGACAGGCTCTACATACAGCACGGTAGCTATGCTATGAATACCATGTCCACATGTTTAATTAAAAGACAGGAGCGTGTTACCTTAGGTCGAACATTTATTTGCTGCTTTGTTTTTATTCTTGGAAGGATTAGTTTTATTTAAATAATTAAGAAATTCTTATAGACTGCCTCGTTGGCCGAGTGGTCGTAAGTGCGACTGCTGGGCAAGGGGTCTCGGGTTTGATTCCCGGGTCGGGCAAAGTATTACTGGGTTTTTAAATATTCTCAGTAGTAGCACGGAGTCTGGAATTGTGCCCGGTATATGGCAACAGGCTAACCCCCTGTTACATGGGACTCGTAACATAAATAGTGAAAAGTGGGTGTTACATTGTACAGTGGTATAATGTGCACCTCTGCCTACCCCTTCGGGGATAAAAGGCGTGATGTTATGTTGTGTTATGTATGTTAATTCATAAAGACTATTTACAGATCCAAGGAACAAAATAATCTTGAAAGTTCTTTCAAACTTTAAATTATATCCTATCATTATAATGTTTCAAATTACACAAAACTGAAATAAAAAATAATGCAATACGATACTAAAAAGACACAATGAGTTTCTATTCATAGTGGCCATACTCCCACAAAACAGCACAATTTGAATATAATATAAATATCTGAAAGTTTACACTATCTCTCGCGCCCAGCTTTGGTCAATGGCCGTCAAATTAAATATGGAAATTCCAGTTTATATACCCATTTGTAATAATTTACATTAATATGCTGATATGTTAGGAAAATATAAAATTTCTAGTGCCCATTTTCCAACTAAGTAGGATATTTTAAATTCAGGCTTAATTTATTCAAGTTCGAGGTAAATTGAAATAACAGGTTTATGGATTACCTACCTAGTTACTACTTACTCTTAGCTTAATTATCAGATCTTTGGCGATCCTAATGAGACCTAATAATAGGGCAGATGTATAATTTTTATTTTAATGTCCGTCTGGTAGATTATTTTAAATCATTAGACACGTATTTTTTAATTTTCTTACAGAAACGAATACTTTCGACGATATATTGATTCGAAATGTCGCGTGACGTCACTTCTATGTAGGTACATTTTATACGTAGAAATGACGCTATATCCCCCGCTCTTAAACAAACTTTTTTATTTTGTCGTAGATAAAACAAACGTTTTATCTACGACAAAATAAAATAATACGTGTCTAACATGTTTTCATTACCTAACTTACGGACTTAATTAAGTATATTTTTAATTTTCATACCCTGTCATCATCTCTATTATACATAATAAAAATCTGTCCAATTTAGGTACGTGTAAGGACGCAGATTTAGAGAAATTCAAATGCATTATTAAAATGAATAGCAGTATTTTTGTCGCTTTGAATATAGGTCCAAATATAGCCCACTAAGCTGGTAGTTACTCTAGTGTGATGCCACTAGTGTTCGTCCATGTTTTTTGAAATAAAAACCGAATGATGAATAGTTCGCGCTATGAAACTACGTGGCTGTGTGAATGCGATAATGCCATGTTTGACACACTAGCATTTCTGCGTGGAGGATTTTCAATTTGATAGTCATTTAATTTCGAAACTTTTTACTTGAATTGAAGTCATTATTGTCTATCTTAGATCTAAGTTGTATACTTTAGTTAGAACATCGAAAACTGTTATTGGACCAGAAAGAAAGTGTCGAGACCTTTCTTAAATCTCCTTCAAATCGAAACCAACGTATTTATTACTTGTGGGCAATGAATAGTTAATGCTAAAGTTGTGAGATTGCAACACGCACACACATACATTTATTAGATGATCATCTTTCTTTGAACATAACACAACCAAGATCATAATGAGGAAAATTCCTCACAAATTGAAAATGTCAGCTAACGATTACATTTCAAAGGTAAGAGTGACTTTAACAGACGTGGACCCTATTCATTACGATCTTAATCTTGACATAATATCGTGGTCACAAAGGTTTTCGAAGATTTGAACGTTTGATGGACGATCAGAAGAAACATTCGATTGTAAATTGTAACTTACCTTTAGCTTTAATTTTTTTATATGAGTTGAAACGTCATATGCTTCTTAAAAACTATAAAAAAACTGTAAATTCACTCACCGTTTTATCCAGAAACCAGCTCGCAGGGAATATGAGAGGCACATAGGTGATCATATAAATGATGGAAGTCCACGACACTTGGTTGCCAGTCACACCGTAATAGTTCATTATTATGTCCTGAATTATCGTAAACTGAGTCCACTGCATGGAGTTTGAGGCCGAGTAGATCACAAACATGCCGAGCATTAGCCATCGTTTCCTCTTCACGTCATAGTCCCTCCCTCTTGCAGCGATGGAGATGTTATCCATCACACTACCAATCAGGGAGTTTCTTCGCGACTCCTCTTCATCTAAGATTATCTTTGGAACCTCTGGTTCGGCGGGGTTCAATAACCCAGTAGCCTGGGATAAATTCTTCTTCGTCATATTAATTGTTATTATCGTCTCTAAAGTCTGTATACACTTATGCACTAGTTTTAAGACACTTTTCGTTTTATTCTGTTTATTAATTTATCAGTCCATTTGGTCCCAGATTCGTTGTTGATAAGCTTTCTTTTTAACTAATCTTGTAGAAGATTAGTCGAGTATCAGTCTTTTGTGATGTTGCTGCGTTTATACCTGTTTAGATAAATCGGATGATAAAGATCATATAGTGATGCAGCAGTACATCTGGGTGTAGTTAGTTTTCTAATCTAAGATAGTGTTTGAAATGTAAATCCCTTGTGTCTGTGTCTAAGCGGTTGTACGTTGTAAGTCATTTTCTAACGAAGAATAACAATTTCTATTAAAAAGAGAACTTTGTCATGCATAACTTAAGTAATAAGAAGTAAATGTAAAGCGAAAACTAAAGATTATTTGTTAAATCAATCGTGCAAAAATGATTAATCAACTATTATTAGATATAGTATAACTGATTTATTTTTCCTTAGAAAAATAATGTGGCAATGAATTTCAACAGAAACTAGTCAAGTATGCCATCTAGCGACTGTTTTACACAGTAAGTCTTCATCTAAGTAATTATGTACAGTTGTTCTTAGTGAATCGGAAGATGGCGGAAGTAGCTAGATACATTTCTGTGTAAAATAGTTATAACAACTGTATCATGACATTGAACATATCTAGAACGTTAGATAAGATAAAAAAAATAGACCTAGACCTATGCCAATCTAAGATGAGTTATTTTAATAAAGAGATGATAAGAAACTTTAAGAAAGTAATTGGTAGTCCACCGTACTTTTGCCAAACGTAATTATGAATCACTATTGAGTATAGGTATATATACAAACCTGAGACATGATTTTTGTAATTACATAATATTTAAATGTATATATACATATATATGCGTATGAAAAGTAATACAATGGATTATCCACAAATACATTAAGATAACATTATATACCGCTTTGTTGATTAATTTAGACACATCTTTATTAGGCATTATTATTCATGCTAGGTAATTAACAAGGTAAAAAACATATACACTAAACTATTTATAACAATCTAGAATATTTTATTTAATCTTCTTTTTAAATTACTTTTAAGTAAACAAGGATCCATAAATTCATAAACACGGTCCTACAAATATTATTATCTTATTTATTAAATTAAAATTTTTGGTCGCTACAAACTAGAAGTAGATTTCGACACAACAGTTAGCACAATAGTTGGGCGATCAACTGTTGGACCCTGAAACAGATTCCCGCACAGACAAAATAATAGTAGAAAATAAATAGTACCTAAGCATAGGTATTTACTTTTATGTCTAGCAGCTACTTACTCTTAAAACGAGTTTTATATCAAACACTAACTATACTTAACTAAAACACCCGAATAATTAAACAAAAAACGAGGCACATTTTATATCACTAAGCTCACTCTACCACACGCGAAATTAAAATTAAATATCACTTAGTTTCCAAGTAAAAAATATAACTTTATATACGTTCATATGTGTTTAGTTTCCAATATAAACTGGTAAAGTAAAACATGCATGGTTTAATTAATGAGTATTGCAGAACGGTAGCTTTTACAAACGGCCGGTTCATAGTAGCTCAATAAAAATGTGGAGCTGATAACGGCTGCAATGTCAGGGCCCATCTCATGGCAATGGCAGTGAATACAAAGAATCTTTAGTGTCTAATCGATAATTTTGGACATTAATTTTTATCACAGAGGTACGTAGTTTGGGATTTTGGAATGGGAGTCTTACTACGGACGGAGACTTCAAAAAATATAAATGTTTTTTGTTGATCCAGGTAGTACAGGAGAGTTTAGCTAGATTTTTTAAGGGGGGAATATCATCGAATGACTGCTCCCGCCTGGGTGAGGCAGGAGGGAGTGTCAGACTCTTACTGACTAAAAACCACCCCGTTCCTTCTCCTGCACGTCGAGCCGGAGCCCCGGTTACCCGTTAGGTTCTCCGCGACATTTCTCACGGTATAAGTTAGTAATTTTAAGCGATACTTTCAAAAGCAACGCAACCCAATTATTTTTAAATGGGGATCGAAGTTATCATCCAATCCTTATCCTCACATCTACATCTATTTATGATGCAGAACCATTTGTTACTTTAGATATCGTGTACCGTTTGCACCTTACCGGTAGGTACGCATATAAAAACTCATATTTGCCAGATTCATTTCCTCCTTGTAACAAAGGGAGCAGATGTAGATGATGCGTATTGCACAAGACAAATTAGTATTCAACAGTACAATAAATGAGGTAATATGGAGGAAATGACACGACTGGACTGGTCAAGGAGATAAGTTAGCGTAATTGTAGCTGTGAGATAACCCAGTTAGGTATTTAGATGACGTGAATCAAATGGGTAATAAAGTTATTTATGTATTAATTTTTAGCCATGGTCGTCCCACTACAGGACAAAGGCAATAAAGTTAATAAACAAATAAACTAACTAATCACGATTAGTAGGTAAGCATGAACCAGTAGCGATAAGCACTGATTTCATTTAGCTCACACAACAAGCTTAACGTTAAGCCAGTTTAATGCTACATTATAGTAGGTACCAAATTATGTTAATAGTATCATTGCATTTTAGCTTATTTATTGACAGCTACGAGTATCTAACTAATTCAGATTTTGAAAATGTACATTTTAAGCTGTGTTTTGGCGCGGATCCTAGGACCAAATCCGGAATCCTTTTTAAGCGAATTGTATTTTAACCGACTTCAAAAAAAGGAGGAGGTTATATCGTATTTTAAAATGGACTGAAGTTTATTTACATAGACAAATACAAAATTATCCAAGAGGTACTTTATAACCAAAACACTGTAATGGTAGTTTAGGTACAATAAATTGAAATAACTACGTTTAAAATACTTCCCGCCTCGGACAGAAATCCCGCCGTACTTCATGTTGTGAACGTACAAAGCTGTCTGGATTTGAATATTCACTGCGGTCTATATCTGTATGCCGCGTCCTTGACACGATGACACCAACAAGTGCGGCTATTTTAGACTGTAGTCTATTTTCTAGGAAATTGTTACCTGCTTGCTTTTTACCGTCTCTTTTCTTTTGTAGCATTAAGCGTGGTTTATCTCACGGTTAGCTTACATTACATAAGTACTTTCTGATAATATATGGACTTATTCAGACATTTCAGTTTTCTCTTACAAATTTTTGTCTTTTTGTCTACTAGGTATATAATGATCACTATTTTATACAAACTGAAGCAAAATATAAAATTAACAATGAGAATGTGCATCATCTAATTCAAGAATTCTTTTTAGATTTTTGTAACTGTAATATTTTTGGAGTAAAGTAAACACAAACAAATGACTGAAACCAAAATAAATTATTTTGTATTGCTTGTATGTTACATGTATCAAGTTTTGCGTGAGGCGATCGGTCATATTATTATGAGGCCGACTGAAGACTGAATTGTAATCGATCGACCGTGAAACTGATTAAATGATCAATTGGCGAATTGATCAGTATCGGACGATCGGGATCGTTCGCCGAGTAAAGGTCAGAACAGTAAAGGTTAGAATCAAAGTGACTCTGTTGCTCATTCTACATTACTGTATTCAGTAAATGTGTAAACTTGAATAGTTGACCCTATGCGACGACTGTTTGGACGGTTCGAGTGGTGTGCGAGACCGATACTACCAATACAGCGTAATACATATCTCGCTAATTTTTGACGAAGTACAGTCGAAAAAACTATAAGTACTTATATTTTTGTGCAGTTTTAATGTTAACCTTTCTGTTATGGGCACAAAGTTTGTGTTTACAGGTTCTATAATTTAGGACCTAGCTACTAATTGCCTGACTAAATGTAAATAAACGAATGCCCCTGTTTTGAGTCAAAAAATAATGGTCACGTTAATTATTCCAGTGTGTATGCTGAACTCCGCTTAGTCTTTCATTTAAAAAAAAAGTTTCTTATAAATTGGAGAGCTTCCTTCATTTTTTATTTATGGTAGTATAGTAAAATAGATGGCGCTACTGTCGTGTTGTGCAACTACCGCACTTGTGAATATGTGTCGAGTATGCTATATAGTACCTTATAAACATAACTAGTTATAGTTGTACTTAAGCTAATTTCAACTTAACACTTTATGCCCACAATAAATTTTTAATTGTATTACTTATATTATTACTTTTTTTATTAAATATGGACTACGACTATGCAAGAATCCTTGAATGACCTACCTTGCTGCTATATACTTAAAGCAATTAAAATTCCATCTACATCCTATAAACTTAGGTATTTTACAAACACATAAACGTAGGTAATAAATATCTGGCGTACATACAAATACATTTTATTATCTACAAATATGTACCTACCTAATATCAATTCTATAGGTAAGTCCTGTGCAAACGAGCAAGTTGAATGGAAAGATTAGTACATTAGTGTCGGCTCATTAGCTGAAGAATTTTCCGATACCTTTCCGGTAACACCTTTATTGGAATCCGATATTTTAATCCGGTTAAGGTATTAAGTATATAAGTACATTTAATAAGAACTCGTACTTATTTAGTATGTTATTAAAGTATTTTTTGTAATAAAAAGTTGATTCAGACTCCGAAAGACTCAAAATCCTAATAACTAGGTGGCGTAGGTGCCTCCATCTTAGCTATGAGATTTTCGATAGGATTTTTTCTACGTCACTCATTTTCCATGGTGAATGGTAGTACTGTAGTACCTACTTAGAGAGAGCTAGAAGTAGGGACATATAAATACACTTCTGTTCTGCTTCTCTAATCTTATACATATGTAACACGCAAACATTTCAGGACCACCTACATACTCAATAATAGTTTACCAGACTTGAGAATTTAAACTCTCTCGCTATCCACAACGTGACTTACCCAGCAGACACTGGTAAAAACATTTTTATTGTAATTCCGTTGACTACATTTTTTATTCTGCAGTTTTTTGCGACGGTATTAGATATGAATCTTCACAAGTAACAGGGTGCATTGAACTCCATGAATAAAGTAAGGTACTTCACTATTAGGAACATTATTATACAAGGTTATAGCTTTTATTTTAACTATTTTTGGTATTTTTTGCGATACGGATATAACCACGAAGTATCAATGCGTGAAGATCTTAGTTTTAAGACCTAACTGTGGCGGGCTACAAGTTTCTAATCATCTTTATTACCTTATCTGCCTAATTTTTTTTTGTCTATTTTAGCATTATTTTTTTAATATGTCATGCTAAGCAATAAGTAGTTAAATTAGGTTATAAAATTGTAATTTCACTTCAATTATTGAAAATTACAAAAGGTAGGTAATAAGTTAAAGTTATTGTAAATTACCAAAATATTACACATTATTAACACTTTTGTTTACAAAACCAACTTCTTCCAATAATGACGAAAGGTACCGTTAGCATAAAAATCGTAATAGACAAAAAAGTGTTATAATAGGTACGTCACAAGTCACTAGTCGTAAAGGTATTGGTCATTGACATTGTCATACACAGTACGGAGTACAAACAAGTTCCGCCGATTCATAGAAATAATTTGATAGAACATTAAAATTCTGGGTGTGAACGCGCTTGACGAATCGGCCACACTAGACTTTATTATTAAAGTATTGGATTAACAAATGTTAAAACCATTAATTTGAAACTAAAAGTAGATCACATTATGATAACATGATTTAATTATTCGCAGAATGTAAGTGAACAACATTTCCAGCACGTCATTGTGCTCATTATACAAAAATTGACAATTATTACCTATTTTATAAGCCAAAGAAGTGTCCTTGTAATAAATTACAACCACAATTCATAAAAATTCAAGTATGCTATCGATAAGTGCTATAACTAGGGTTGCCACCCGTACTTTATAATAAAGTAGTTATTGTACATTATTTAAGGTAATTGTACTCTATACTTTATAAGAATAATAAAGTACACGAAAACACTTTATTTTTGCAAACTTTATTTCTATTATAGTCGTAAGTATTTTTCGGTAAACTTATCGATTCGATATCGATATTTATCTACTTATGTTGAATCGATAACTCGCCAGCGCCACTTAGACAATTTCTAGTAAAGATGCAATTGTTTAGTAATGGTACTAATTTAATACAAACTGCAAAAAGCAATAAATAATATATTTTTAAATATGATACTAAATAACAATAAATTGTACTTTATTTTTGTACTGTGTACTTTTTTTTCTTACCTATAATCATTAATGTACTTTAAATACCAAAGAAAAAGGTGGCAACCCTCGCTATAACCCATACCAGTACCAGTAGGTACGTACATACTTACTACTACTAAACTCGAGAAACTATAAAAAACAAATCTGCCTAATAAGTAATAAGTACACATTTTCACCATAAACACTACCTCTAAAAAATTGACGAACACGCAATTACTGGATATTAGTTAGTAAAATGAATCATCATCATCACACTACACGGGATGACGTCACACAGAGTAAACCTAAGACATTGTTGATTTGATACATATGACTATGACAATCTATCACTATGCGAATATGACTCAATCATGTCTTAGGAATAATATAGGTAAAGTATGTAATTTAATGCAAAGCATGATAATTAAATTTATGAGGAATTAAAATAGTTCTACACCTCATGCCGAGACTCAGCGAATAATTCCATTCTCCGCGAGAATCGAACATGCAACAAGTTGCACAGCAGCCAATCTCTCTATATTTAGGTATATTATTAATAATACTTATTACAATGGCAAATAATCGAATTAGCAATTGAGCCTGGTACTTCAAGTTAGCTAAAACTAATATGAAATATAATTCATCATAATTAGGTACATAATCAGCTAGGTAAAGTAAGGTATTGAATAGGCATTTACTGGTTGGTTAAAATTATATTCATATCATACCTAATTATTAATAAGTAAATTCTTCACACCTAATTAAACGTTACGCTTCTAGGAGACACATTAATAATACTTCTGGAAAAGGTAGATGAGTTATTAGAATAAGAGTTTATGAAACAACTTAGTAACAAACTCCACTGAAGGATCCATCGTCCAGCTGACGCGTTATTTATTTTATTTTCTTTACTTCAATGACAACAATATTTCAAATTTTATCATTTTCTAATTATATTATTAACTCGATTGAGTTTTGTTTATACCAAAAGTTGGTAATCAATTCAGTTACAGCACGCGCTAAAAGTTTGAAATTAAAATGAAGTCTCTATGACGTAGTGCCTGCTCACACATTGTATTTATTATGTACATTATTTAAATAGTTATGTTCCGTTATAAAAACTCATTGGAAGTAGACTTATAAATTATGTACCAATTCCTATGAAGAATATAAATGAATGAGGCTATTTGAGGTCGATAGTAGTGGATACTCAGCGAAGTAAAGATGGTAATTGCTATACAACATAGGTACGTTTAGCGTAAAGTACGGCAGAAATACCTAACTTTATGAAAATGTTCGGTATAGGTAATACTTCAGAAAAAATATAAAAATAAAAGAATACTCACACGACAACTAAACGTGAACAATGTAGGTCACACAACTACACTACTAATTCAATTCGAAAATCGAAAAACAATTAGGCAATTTGTTTTGCTAATCTGCTGACTGTACACAGACGGCGTGAAAGCGACCAAACATAACCTAAAAATATTGCGGCAATATTTTTATAAACACTCACTCTAAAACTTCACTTTAATATATCTATACACTTATAAATCACTATGTACATCGATTCACTTAGTATTTATCACTGAAATATCACTGTAATGTTCCTCTTTCCTCAACATAACGGGCACTGATTCACTTTACGAGCCGCTGTTCCTCGACTGTTCATCATTTGAGGCAATGGTTCGATGTCAGACAGCCAATAGGAATGTCGACGCACACACGGCTGCCCATTTAAAAATTACACCATACAAAATAATATTAATGAATTGTTGTTCCCGTTGAACCCCTTTGAGGTTATGTGAGGTGACAGGGTGAAAAGCCGGCGCATGCGTACTTCAACGTAGTACCCGCAGCGTTAAAAATAAATAAGGTCGAAACAAAAAGTTTTGATACCTAAGAAATTAGTTTTTAATCTGTGGCGCGGCCTTGAGTTATTTTTAGCGCGTTTTCTGCGAGTACAGTAAATTTTCTTTTCGTTAGAAATTAAATAGACCGTTTTGGATAAAAACACGATTTTACGGTTAGTATGTCGTGCTGAGCTGAATGGTGACATCAGACTGGTATTCAATATAATTTAGTTCCAGCTGAACCGACGGTAATCAGCGTGGTTACGTCAAGTGGGGTGGCAATTACCATTTATTTTATTTCGTTACGTCATCTCTCGGGGGAGTCTTTGATAAAATTTATTGAAATATAAATCAATCGTTTATTTGGTAATTTTTCGTGAACCTATTAAATATTACCTGAAGTGGGTAGATAGGTAACTAACGAACTACATACATAAAAAAATTCTGTGAGGAAGTGCCTTTAGCTATGACATTAACCAGTAAAATACCTAATGAAGTAGGTACAGTAGAAGTAGGAAAGAAATAAACGATTGTAGGTACTGGCCAACAGTCTAGTGTAGTTTTTTTAATTCCTTGGTAGGAAGATGTGTTTTGCCAGATGCACTATGTGCAAGTGAAACCAATAGAAATTATAGAAAGAGACGTAGGTACGTATCACTTTGTCTCTTTCATTTGAATGTCTTTCTCTATTAATAATCTAGTTTTCTAAATTATTATTATTTTGTCCAGCCCCAGAACCATCAAATCGAGACAATAGGTAGGTACAATCGATTCCAACTAATTGGACGGCTATAAAAGTCCTTTTATAAAACCAACCGTAACTCAAGTGGATAAGGTTTAAAATCATTGTAGGAATTAAAGGACACATTTAACTGGACGAGCATGACATTCCGTGGTGTTGATGAAAATCAATCAATATGTCGTCCATCATTGATTAAGCTGAATTGTTGTTAACGCGTGATGAATGGTATAATAATTATTATGTGTTAGTTTATTTATAGAACATATTTTTACAGGACGTTCTATAGTTATCTTACTATAGCACAACGTCCTTGCCTAGCACATGTTTCTGTTGATTAAGTTACTTGGAACGCTAAACTCGACTCGAACTTAATCGAATATTCGACGTTGCCTTTCTTTATACTATGTTACTGTCGATTTCTTTAACGCTGTGAAGTTAAACCTATCGACCTACTCAGATACCCTGTTATTAAAATAACATATAATTAATAGATTTCATATTCCGCCTAGCAACGGGAAAAATGTGGCGATAATGACAAAAAGCAGAACGCACTAAACGAACTATAGGCGTTGGGTATATCCAAACCTATTTACCTACCTCCTGAAATAAGGAAGAAAATATCGCTGTGTCGATAGTAATATCAATCAGGGTGGTTTTAAGAATAAAACGGGCAGAGTAGCGATTTATTCTATTTAATGTCAATAACTCAACTAATAATTCTAAAACAGCTTTTCTACATTCAGTTCAACAAAGAAAATAAGATATGACCTGTCTTGCGGGTAACATCAACTCAATTCTTATATTACAAACACTGACTTCCGGTCGTGCAATTTTATAAAATTTACATTAAATTAGTCTCTTTTTATAATTACGAGACCCGTTTTCCCCGAAATGAACTCTGGGACGCAAAATTGTCTAGTTTTCGGAAACCACACAAAAGTTTGAATAATTGAACCCATGCCACGACTGTTCCAAAGGCTCGAGGGGTGTGCTCACTATTTTTTGACGAAGTGCAGTCGAAAAAACTATAAGTACTTACATTTTTGTGCAGTTAGTACTTAATGTTAACCTTTCTGTTGTGGGCACAAAGTTTGTACAATTTAGGATCTAGATACTAGATGCCTGACTAAATCTAAATAAACGAATGTCCCGTTTTGAGTCAAAAAATAAATGGTCACGCTAATTAGGTACCTACCTACTCTTTTTTTGTTTTTAACCAACCAACAGTATGTTTCTTTAGATGATCATCACATTGCTGCATACCATGGCTGTGTACTCACCTTAATTCTTTATCCATTTTTATTCTTAACTATGATACCTAACTATTAAATCTTCTAATTTTACAAACTGACAACGAGGTTCTCTGTTCCGGGAATCCAGTCGTCAGACATTGCCGCACCGCATTCATTTATGCGATCCTGGTTGGAGACAAAAATAAAAGATGTCTGTAGCCTTCTTCGATATCCTTTTCATTTTTTTTACCCCTAATTCTTTTTTTACTTTTTTTGCAATCGCAATAACCACATTAGATGGTAACTCAATGGTAATATAGGTAAATGAAATACCCTTCCTTCAGTCTGGTCGGTTAATTTAAAATGGTTGTATAATGTTGCATCAAATTGCAGTATCGTAAGGATAACATACGCTGAACGTTTTATTTTTACTTTTTGACAGGATTTTAGTGTTACATTGTTCTTGCACAATCGAACCAATAAAGCTATGTAAGAGATTTGTATTGTAAACCTAATTGAAAAAGAGTAACCTAAAAAGAGTTTCTTGCTCGTTCTTGTCCATGGGAATCTATATCTTAGAATGAGCAAATAGACTCACTAATAGCCTGTTAAATTTTTTTTCTTGGCGTTCAAAAGTGCCTTTCTGGTCTAATTGAAATAAATGATTTTGACTTTGACTTTTTGACTTTGTTTAATAATAATTATTTTAGACTCCACACAGTGTGCGCTGTGATTGCAAATTGGGCTCACAAAAAACTTTGAAAGATTAATTGAATTGGACATTGAACCGATCGAACGATATTATTAATGTGAACAGTTGAATGTTTGTGATCGTCGCAAAATACAGTGCACACTGTGTAATCCTCGGGTCAACGGTTTTAGATATTACCCCAAAACAAGATTCTATTGTAAATTCATTTCTAAAGGTCGATGTAAATCCAAGGGAGCGAACAGGTTTTTTTTGTGGGGGGAAAATCATCCAATGACTGCTCCCGCCCGGGTGAAACCAGAGGGAGTGTCAGAGTCTTACTGACTAAAAACCAACCCGTTCCTACTCCTGCACTTCGAGCCGGAGCCCCGGCAACCCGTTAAGTCTTCCGCGGCTCCGTATCGGCATCAGCCCTGTTGGGCTCCATCTGTGGTGATCTGATGGCTCCTAAGCGCGCGCGGAACGCGAAGCGCCCTACGCTTGGGCCTAGCTCTGGTCGAGCGGCAAGTTACCCGTGCTCGCCGTTCGCAGGCCCGTGCTAACGGTCGCCGGAGATCGTCTCGCGATCTGAGACGCCCTGAGTGTCTCTCGCGCCGGCTGGGGCGTGAGGAAGTTCGTTCCCTTACGCGCCCCGCCTACTCTTTAGCGAAAAGGTTTAGCAGCTAACCTATGTAGGGAGAGACTTGCTTGCCTACTACATATTAAGATGATTAAGAATGAAATAGCAGAGCGTTCTCATTCGAGACTCGACTCAAACTAAACTCAGGGCGTCCACACTCCACCCCTTTTAGGTCCGCTTTAATGAATAAATTAAAGAGAACTATTACTAGGTAGTACGTAGTAGGTACGTACATACATTGCTTGCTAGTTTATTTGTCAATATTGTTCGTACTTCGTATCCTACATTCCTAGACAAATTGAAATTTTAAGTCTAGGAGACTAACGCTGAAATACTCAAACGCTACTCAATCTTAAGTCGCGCTTAAATACCTGCCTATAGTTCTGTCACTACAAATTGTGAAATGACAGAGACGGTACAATATCGACTATTTCATAGTCTCGTCAGCCAAGTGGTCGCAAATGCAAGGGGTACAACTTAATATTGAGTAGTCTTTCAGTATTCGGACGTTAAATGTGTATTGATAACAAAATTTCTCAATTTTATTTATGGATAAAAGCGTGGGCAACCAAATCATGTTATTAATAATACATTCGGTTTTTAGGCACAAAATGCATATCTATATAGCTAAGCAAATTACATGGTAGTCAAACTTTTTTTTCCAAAAAATTGTTATCTTAATAATCTGTAAGCCTCTATCTATAGCAACGAAAGTCTTAATCAAATTATTACACAAATAATAAATAGTTAACAATTATATTTTATAAAATTTATAAAATGCTATTATCGAGTTACCTCGTAATTCCCGTAAGTATCTACCCACATATTAAAAACTATTGGTAAAATTATCTACCTACGTTTACAGCCCAGTTATTAAATTAATTGAGTAATATTTCCTGTAACTAGGTCACGCTTTTTCAGAACATAAATTAGTATCAGCACTCGGTACTTGTGAAAACTATTTAATGGAAATAGTTTTGATTTATTCAGTATGGCTGCAATACACTCTGCTGCGTAATTGCAATAACAATAAATTCAGGTGCAGTTCATTGAAGTGGAAGATTCCTTTATTGCTATTTTTGTATTGAAGGAGATCAAGTTTCAAAAAAACCTACTTAATAAAGCTATTAATAGGCCAGTAACTTCAGCGGTAAGTAGGTAAGTTAAGTATGTAGGTATTATACAATGAGCTACTAAAGGCTCTTTGAAATTGCCTTGCTCTGTGTTGTGTACCAAAGTATATTGTTTTGTAAGTTTTATTCCACTCAATAGAAGTGTGACATAGCCGCTGAATTAGAGGAACTTCATTAAGATTTACCTATATAAGATATTATTATTATCATATCAATCTGATCAAAACATTCCATTCGCTTTTCATAGATCGACAGTCAAAACATTTTTATGCAAACCCCAGTTGATCCAGCGTAGGTAGGCTTCGGAGTCGCGGAGAACCTAATGGGTAACCGGGGCTCCGGCTCGACGTGCAAGAGAAGGAACGGGGTGGTTTTTAGTCAGTAAGAGTCTGACACTCCCTTCCGCCTCACCCAGGCGGGAGCAGTCATTCGATGATTTTCCCCCTTAAAAAAAAAAGTGTAGGTAGGTAGTAACTACAAACAATGCTTACATTCATATTCGCCGTTATACATAAACCTACGTAATATGTAGGTTTCCAATAAAGTGCGAAGCTCGCTAGCTCGCTACTAAAGAATTGAAATCCATGATTCACCACTCCATCGAGAGTAGGGAGCGAATTGCAAATGAGACGGAAAGACCTTTTACCGACTCCATTTAATCGGAAAACTAATCGAGAAGCGATTTATCTTTCTTGTCCAATCTTTGTAGTTTCGTATCCTTAAAACCTCTTTTGGACCACCTCGTTCAGTAGGTATTTGAATTGAGTATTTTAAGAGTAGGAAAAACAGTAAATTATTAATCTTGTCCGTGTGAGAAGAGGCTTTTGCTCAGCAGTGGAGAATGT